GACAAAACAAATACACTTCAATTAACACTTTTTTTTTTTTTTTTTGTAATCTGAGCTTCTTTCCTTTTTTTTTAAACAGACAGAGCCCTGATGGAGGGAGATGGTTAAAATTATGACACCAGGAGGGTGGCTTTGTGCTACCCCTGGAGCTGCCCACTCTCCCTGGGCCATCAGGGGATGGTGTGTCCATTAATGAGGGGGGGTGATGTATGGACTTGCTGTGTAATGTCACCTTCTGCTCTTCCCCTACTCTGAGTAACACCACAGGGGCAGACAGGCTGAATTTGATGATAGCAGGTTCATTTCTTGGTTATTTTTCTTCTGGTTTTTTTTGTTTGGTTGGTTTTTTTTGTTTGTTTGTTTTTTTTTTGGGGGGGGGTTGGTTTTTTTTTTTTTTTTCCAATGCTACAGTGTCACCTCCCTTTGCACTAGTTACCTTCTGCAGTTTGCTGGTGCTGAGTTACTTCTTCTCTTGGGCAGAGCCCAGATGTGAACCCGGTCAGGTGCCCTCCAGATGCCTTCTGCCCCCGGGGCAGCACAGAGCCGACCTACTGCATGGAGCTCTTCCTGTACAAGTCAGGGAACTCCTGCCAGCTGACCCCTGTGATGGTTGTTATCCTGGCCACCTTCTCTGCAGGTGAGCGTGGGTCTTCTCTGTCCCGTGGTAAAACCAGACACCCCTCTGCGGCTGGGCGCCTTCCTGTTAAACCAGGTGTTCTCTGGATGGTGGATTTTGTGTTTCTGCTAGCTGCCAGATCATGCAGTGTTGGTTGTATTGATGCCATTAGAGCATCTTGTAACCAGCAGAATGAGACAGCCAGCACCTGCTGAGTGTGGGGAGCATCCCCCATCCCAAGTGCCACCTGCTGGAATTAGCTCGCTAGGGCAAGCCAGTGCATGGATGAGCTTTTCTACTGGGAAGCTGCACCATAAGCAATCATTCCAAGATGACGCATTGGCATTTGTAGTGTTAGCAAAGGGAAAAATAGAGTTCTGTTGGTTTTAATCAGTGTTGGGGGCAGGTTTAATTGGAGTTATGATGAAAATGGGTAACTATTACTGCTATGGATTGCAAAAAGGGCAGATGAGGATTTGGGAAGAGGGATTTGTCTCCCATGCCCAGGCAAAGAAGGTGAAATTCCTAAGTGCCACTTATGCTACCAGAGATGAAAATCTTGTGTCAAGAGAGCTAAGTCATAGAGATGACTAAACCATTAGAGGATAAGGAATGTCCAATAACCCTCGTATCTATGGCTTTCTGTGTTTCAAGTGTGTGACCCATTCAGCTCACTGTTGTTAAAAGGCAGGGGGAGATAAAATAGATGTGCCATTCCCCACAGTGAGCAAAGCTGCTTCTCCAACAGTAAAGCAGTGCAAGTTCCCATCAAACTCCTCTCCTGGCAGCTAAGGAGACGACTCCATGGATGCATGGAAGAGACAAGGACAGCAGGGTCTGGAGGAGCTCTAGCAGCACTGGCTGACTGCTTGCCTCCAAAGATCTGAAATGCCTGGAGGGAGCAGATGAGGGTTGTTCTCACAAGCTGTGGCTCAGAGCAGTGTGAAAGCTCCTCCACTGACCCCTATCCCCCTCATGCCAGGCTGTAGTCCAAAAATCTGCCAAAGCAGATGCCTTCTGAAGCGAATATTAATTTGAAAAAGTAGATTAAAATGAAGTCTCTGAAAAGCCCGTCCACAGAGGCCCACAATGGCCCATTAACCAGCATTTCTGATAAACAAGTCTGAGGGTGAGAGAACAGCATTCCCCGGCGCAGTCCCGCCTCTCCCCGAGCTTGCTGCAAGGAGGGGGAAAGGAAACAGCCCACACAGGAAAACACGAGTATTTCACGGCTGGTCTCACAGATCAAGTGTTTACCATGAGACTGTCTGCTCATGCAGCCTAAATTTGGGCATATTTGTCTGGCCATATTGCATCACAGCGACAGATCTGCGCTCTTCTGTTCAGATCAATTTTCCCTGATGATGCTTCTGCCAGAAACAAATGAACAGAACATCGCAGTACTTGAGATTTGCCAATTATTTCCGTGTCTATGCCCAACCTAAAAGTAATTTTTCCTGACAGCCCTGATGATCTCAGTCTAGACTCAAAAGTTAATCTAGGTTAGTTAGTTCTTGTGCTTCAGTGTGAGCGCTGCACAGAGCAAACTAATTTCTCAACAGGAGTCTTTGGTGGGATCTGCAGCGGATAGGATGCCAGGAGGAAAAGAACAGTTCCATGGAGCAGAGAGTAAATGGGAGTAGGAAAGCAAGTTACTGAATTATTTCATTAAAACCTGCCATTATTCCCTGCAGCTTCCAGAGCAAAGCTGAAATGCTGAAGTTGAGTGTTTTATTATTATTGCTAGCCAAACCAATTTTTGGTGGTTTATTTTGGTTTTTCTGGGGGGGGAGTGGAGGCAGAGTATGTAGGAGAAAAAACCCTTATGTTACTAACAGAGAATACCTGGGTTGGGAAGCCTTAGAGCAAACATCACCTGGTGCTTTACCTTCCCATCTGAGAATGACTACACCATTCCTCTCTTTCCAGGTGGGATCCTCGTTATCTTTCTAATAATTCTGAGAAGGCGGAAAGACTCTGGCAAGAAATCATTGAAGTCTCTGTTGCTGCCCCGAGGCTCAGCACGACACTCGACTTACGGGGGCACGGAGCACACAGAACCAGTCTATGCTGGGTGGTAGCACAGGACAGGCCACCAGCAGGCATCTGCCTCCCTTTTGCCTGGAGCAAAACAGATGTGTGTGTGTACGTAAGGGCAAGGTGTTCAACCACAAGCAACCTACTTCTGTATTGGTAAAATAAGTGCTGAGAAATAAAACTCAAGTTTTTGAGTTGTGGCTGCTTGTGCGAACCAACCCAGCTGCCTGCTCTGCTCACTGAGCTGATGGAAAGTGTTTCCCTTTCAGTTCCTGGCTTCATTCACAAGTAAATACTTTTCTCCTTTTCTGAGGGGGATGGGGGGGAAACCCTAAACAGACAACAAACAGTTGTCTCTCTCTCTCCATTTCAATAGTCAGCTCAACAGTGAGGATTGACTGCTCCAGTTATTGAAGTTCCTGTGAAACAACGCTCCCTTCCACCTGCTGAGCATGAATTAACGTGAATGTGCTTCTTTTTACTAATATGTCATTTGTATTTTTTTTTTCTCATTATCAGAAGGTCAAGGGAAGGGATCCCAAAGCTTTCCCCTCTCTCTCAGCCGTGGGCAAACATGTGCAACTAAAATAATGGTTGATTCCGGGACAAATCCATCTCTTTTGTTTCCTGCTGTAGGGTGGTCCTTTGTACTAGAGCTACAGAGGCAACTCAAAGCGAGCAGCACGGTGCAGGCACAGAAGATGCCTTGCAGATTTTTGCATGCAGAAGAGATGGACCTGTATGAGACCCATTCCCTAAATGCCCATGCAAAGTTCTTTGCCTGATCCTGGACACTTGATTTGCCCCCCAACCCATGAGAGCAGCAGGTCTGGTTTATACCTGTTTGCTCTGGCACTCCAAGCCTTCTCCTGTGCCCCCACAGCCCAGTTTAACCATCTTGTTAAACTGATGTGATTTGTGTTCTTACAGGGGTGATTTCAAAGTGTGTGGTTGGGTGACTCTTTTTAAACTTGCTGTTTGCTGCATTTTCCCTGCTGTGCTTTTTCTCTCAGTGATGTTTGGTCAGCACCCCGGGCACTCAGAAATGCCACTGACTGTACTGGAGCCAGGTTAAACTGCTCCATCAAACCTGGGGCCTCTTAACCTTTCCCACCTTGTCTTCCCTTTCCTCCTCCAGTGCCTTTTTCATACACGTGCTGTGTAAGCCCAGACAGACCAGCCAGCTGTGACCCTTCGTGTCAGGGCTGTGCTTCACCAGCTCTGTGCTTGTAAAAATAGAACCTGCTATGAAAAGATCCGCGCTTTCAAATGACTCTGCGCTGAGGTGGGAGCAGGTGTTACTTTTCACTTCAGTCTTGCACTAATGGGCCAGTGGAGAAGCTGAGTGGGCTGAAGTAACCCAGCTGTCGGGGGTTAAGTGGTTCCTGCCCTCAGCTGCTCATTCTCTCCCCAGGGGAGGTGTTAATGTGTTTTAAAAGATACATAAAATATATCAGTTCTCTGATGTCCCTCAGCTATGTCAGATGAATAAATGGGTGGCAAGAGAGGTACACCTGCCATTGGGGACAGAGAAACTGTGGGTGCCTCATCCCGGGCAGTGTTCAAGGCCAGGTTGGGATGGGACTTTGAGCAACCTGAAGGGGTGGCAGGGGGGTTGGAACTGGATGGTCTTTAAGGTCCGTTCCAACCCAAACCATTCTGTGGCTCTAATCTGGATCAGCAGCAACACAGATGGTCCCTACAACCCTCCCCAAACCCTGGTACAGGTCCCTGCACCCTCCCTGCAGTCTCTCTCATGCTGTTGATTTAGGAGACAGACGTGAAGTTTCTGAATTTGCAAAAGGCTGTGGTTTCTCCATGGAGCAGCAAAGGGACGTGATCCTGATGCACAGCATTAGACGACCTCAGCAGAACAGTAAGCCACTCATATGAAAGCAGCTCTCTGAAATGCTTTTCAAAAAAAAAAGTAGCTACTGTCAGATGTAGAAGATTCTACATGTGAAGCCAAACCAGACCTTCCCCCACCCAAAAAAAAACCCCAAACAAAACAAAAAACCTGTCTGAAAAAGCAAAACAGTCAAATGCCGACCTGGGCAAGCAGGATCACAGACAAGTCACAAAGGGGTGGCTGTCCTGCATCCTGCTGTGCTGAATGTGCTTGTGATCCCACTGGAGAGGCGGGCAGGGAGCTGCAGGCCCCGTGCCTGATCCCAAAGCGGGGGGTGTCACTGCAGCAGTGCCCGTCGGTAACTGCTGGAGGCAGTGGCTTCTGCCCCTCAGGACCTGGAGCATCACAGTCCCAGAGGGCCAGAGCTGTTACACCTACGCATGAAGAGGAAAAAGCAACGCACCAACCAAAAGAAATTAACAAATTGTAAAAAAGCAATGGAATGTAAAGGTAAAATTTTATAATAACTTATTTAAAGGTATTCTTACAAAGCCTTCCTTACACGGTATAGTATTCAAAGAGTGGTCCTGATGACATCAAATTCCTTCATTTTGTTTAAAAGCAGAGGAAAATATTTCTGCTTTACTACCTGACCTCGTTTTCCTCCCCACAAAACCCAACATTAGAGAAACATCCATATTACCATTTTTTGGTTTTGATTTTAGGCACGGGACTGTTCTTCAGTCCCATGACAGAAAGTTTCCCTCAAAACCAATTAAGGAATCTTGAATTTTAGCTGAGTGCAAGGCTTTGCATACCATTTCAAGAAATGCAAACATGTAACACTTCCCCTGATTTTGAACTGTGCTATTTCTTCAAAATTATTTGAAAAAACTTAACCTTCCAACAGTGTTTATAAAAACTGATTCAAAGAACAAAGCAGTTTGGTCACAAAACAGGAACAAAAGAGTTCAGGATAGGGCAATGCAACATTTAAAAACCTCTTTCAATTAATACCTTCTAATAAACCCGAAGTTTTTACGCGTTGGGAATAAACGGGGATTTCAATAATTCAAAAAAGCACTATATCTGCAATCAAATCCTGAAGAAATACCTTGGGAAAAAACCATACACTTTCATGATACAGCAAGGCTTCATTTTCAAAAGGGCTACACAGAGTTTTTGCACTATTAAAGGCAAACTAAGCTAGAACATACACAAATGACTAGATCGACGTGGAGGCGCCCGTGGTGTTTACAGAGGGTGGGTGACAATGGCACAAGTCAAAACGTGCTTGTAATGCTGCCTAATCAGGGGCCAAGGACATGCACTGGGGAAGAAAACGTGGCAGGCATTTTTCTTTACCGTTTTTTCCTAGTTCTAATATTTCCATCAACACTAAATCTCGTACGCTCATCTCACTGTGAGAACCTAAGGCTGATGAGAGCAAAGGATTCAAAACAGCTTTGCTGACACAACACAGCGGTGATGAGACAGTCAAGAGCAGAGCCTGTACGATTGTAACAAATAACTTCAGTCTGTCAAGTCAAGTAGCCAGTTTTAGACAAACTTTATTGAAAGAAGAGTCAGGCTAAATTTTGTATTGAAATTACTCCTTATGTGCTTCAAAATTCTATTTCTTTTTTACTTCGTTGTTCTGAATTTAGTTTTTTGCACTTTAGTCAAGTTTCACCTTCTGTTTCATTCATGGGAGTGGTTTTACCTGTTGTTGGGCATTTCTTACATTATCGTAAAGTTGTAGTGCTTGGACTCCAAGCATTCCAAAGAAATGTTTGCCTCTGCGTTTTACCTGACATTAAGGAAAAGAAAAATCAAGTAATTTTTTCCAAATAATAGGTTTTGTAAAATTTATTTTTATTAAAACACAAAAATCCTAGGGTATTGGGCCTAGACTGCAAGACAATATCCCTTCAAATCCAGACTTGTACAGCTCTGCAAGATCAAGTCAATTCTATTTTGCTGGGATGAAACACAGGAAAAAACAGTATAGAAAAAAATCCCTAACAAAGTAGGATTTCCCCTCTCTGGTATATGGGGTATGCCTTTCCCACCACGCACTACATTTTGTGGTGGAAGGATATTTAAGAACATGATTGTTTGAGAATCATTTTCTAACAGCACAAACAAATTTTGGGGTGTGTGGTTACAGCGAGATACACACCTGGACCATGACTGGCATTCAAGCACTTGCTCAAAAACACACAAGGCAAGCAAATCTTATTGGGACCACAGACCAAGCCATTTCTTACTCAAGAGGACTTGAGAGCTAACAACTTCTTTCAAGGATATACTATTTTAAACATCTGTTGGTTGACAAATACTATCTCAAAAAACTATGTTTACGCCTACCTGGTTTGATTTTAACCTACCTCCAACCTGCAAGTATTTTGGAGGGAACATTTTACATTCGTAACAATTCAAGTGTAACTGTAATGCTGAGTAATAAGTTTGGTTTGTCCTGAAGTTTACTGAACTATGCAGTTCGTTATCAGTGCAGAAGCAGCAGAAGACTGCTGTGGTTGGCTCAGTGGAATTATAAAAAACAAAACAAAAAACACACCCTCCCCCCACGTAACCTTTACAGAATATATGTAAAACTGTGTCCTTCCCTGGTCATATTCACAACTTATCTACAAGATAGTGTTAGCAGTAGAAACTGCAGTCCATGACTATTTGCATTCAGCTCTCATCCATCTGTTCCTCTTTCTCCTCGGCTTCAACTTGTTCAGTTTTCTGCGGGGTTTCTCAGTCTTCCGAGTTTCAACAGAATCCACCCCGAGAACGTGTTCAGAGCAGCATAACTGTCCATTCAACATAGAATTTAGTACTGTCCTGTCTTGGTGCTCCTTGCAGAAAGAATTTGGGCAGAAGTGGCAGAAAGAAACAGAAGGCTTGCCACAAACATCACAGTGGTGCCAAGGACACTCCCACTTCCCTGCAGTCAAGAAACAAAGAGCCCATTAGTGAGCGGGGAGTAAAACACGGCAGCGTCTCTGAAAGAAGTTTTTGTGTTTTAGCAGCTGAACAACGCACAATTTTCTTGACAAAGCAAATAAGACAGCAACCACTGGGGCTGATCTCAACACTCAAAATGCTACATCGTACTTCTAAAGCTCAGCTGGCAGACGTAAGGAGCACACTTGACACACTCTCAATTTAAATACAGCAGCCAGCTCCAGCTAGAAGAAATTACTCAGGCTTTACTCAACAACATTTTACAGAACTTGCAGGCTGGTAGAGCACCCAAACATCTGCTCAGCTGCTGCCTACTACAGCACTCACCTGTCTGTTCCAAGTTTTGCTCAGGGATGGCTGCTGTGCTTCACCTACGGCTGCTCTTTCTCCCCAGCATGCTTTACCCAATCCTCATTTTATTTGTTTCTGGGAGAACAGGCTTTCCCTGCTTCCCTTCTTCACATCCCACCTGACATGGCTGTTTGGAACCAGGTAACTCCTGTGATATGTAGAACAGCAAACTGATTGCTGCTACTAATTTTCCTATTCGCCTCCTTCCAGAAGCTGCTGTAATTCCTCTGGCTTGAGCTCAAAGGGCTTCATGCATTTCTCAGACATAACAACCTTCCTGCGACAGTGCTCCTACCAGCTGATGTGCTCCATTGCCTGCATTTGTAGAGCAAGCAGCCCATTTTAGCAGAGAGGCAGGAGGAGGCCATCATTCTGTCTTTGCACCCAGGAGGAGCTGCTCCTACGTGATGCAGGAACAAAGTTCCCACCACACAAACCCAGTATTTTCAAGATGACGCTCCTGACAAGGTTTCAGTGCAATAAATGAGGTACCTGCAGCACAAGTTATTTATTCGGGTGTAAGAGGTGGGTTGACTCACCAAAAGGACGTTTCACCAAACCAAGACAGGAGAGATGATAAGCTTTAGTACAAGATTTCCTGTCACACAGTACCAGCTGGCCTCCATCCCCACAACGGAAACAATCATCTTCAGATTCCTTCTTCCCTTCATTTTTCATTCTGCGTCTCCGTGTTCTCTTTTTGGTCTTTTTGCCTTTTTCCTCCGAGGCATTAGTGGAAGAATTCTAAAAGATGCAAGTCTGTTAATGCCAGTTTTGCAAAGCAAAAATATAACACAGCCTAGACAAGCTGTTGGCACACCTGGCAGACAGTGCACACATCCAAAAACTTGACTAGGGGCAGACCTGCCCAGTGCCTCACCATACTGGTCTGTGTTGGCAAAGCCCCCACGCTGACCCTTGTGAAAACTCATCCTAAAACCACGTCTTGTTCCTACAGAACCTTCCTACTGGAAACTTCTTTAACTTTCTTGCCACTTTATTCTCATTTCCAGTCTGATCTACCCATGGCTGATTTACCCCCATTTTGTATTTGCATCACCTATTACTTCAATACCCCTTTTTCTTTTCCATTTGAAAGTACTACTGCTGGAATTACCAAAACCTGCCTCTATTTCTCTTTGAGGAACAGACAGCAGAACTTCAGGAACTGTAGCTGTGCCTGTAATGACAGAAAGAATATTCCAAACCTTATCTCTATTTCAGTCTGACATTCTGCTGCTTGCACTTCAACCAGTCACGTAAAATTTTGGATGGTTTTTCAACATCCCTACCATCATTCCCCTCCCTCTTTCCCCAGTAATCATTACCTACTTTCTTTGAAATGAGCTCATTCTATCTACCAGTGCAGACAGCTCTGCAAAACTGAACTGTACCACTTCATTTTTTCATGGATTTCTGTGGAAATGGATCACAAGCTTATGTGAAACTTCACTTCAGCCTATCTCTAAACAAAAAAACAACTATGTGAACTCTGGAGATTTTCAGTCCACCCTCTGAAATGGCTGGTACTGAGCAGTGTGGAGGACCACATAAAGGTGCAGCTTTTGAACAGCCATGGGTGATACTTGTGCCTTCCTTCGCACTCCTATTCCAGTCCTTCCTGAAGCCCCATCAACTGCTGGATTACAGGTTTTAAACTAACCTGGCAGGAATCACACAGACAATTTTGTATCATTTTTTCCTCATTCAAAACTCATGTTTTTTATTCTTCAGTTCAACTGAGTTTTCTTTAATGAATCTCAATAATATTTTAAGGTTTAGATGGGAGAAATATAAACTGCAATGTCAGAATGATCTCACTGACTATAGTTAGGTGCATTCTTAGTTCAAAGCTCGTACAACCCTTCCCCATGTTTCAAATGGGACTGGCTATTCTGCAATCCATTTTTTCTTAATATGCTTTTTATTCCAGAAACTAGTGTCAATAGCTAGCAGTATTTCTTATTCAGGACCCAAAGTAATTATTTGTCATAGGAGAAAGTGGCAGAAAATATTTTGGGTTATTCTTCAGCACCAAGGTTATGCTTGGCAAAACTATGTTTCCATCCTCCCAGCAAGGGAAACAACAAGCTTTGAACTCAGAGGACGGAAAGCATCTGTTCATGCATCATCACCCCTTATCACAACATAAAACTGGTTCACCGACTCATACCCCAGAAGAAAAACCCAGGCTAGTAGACAAGACTGTCAGAATCTCTTGATGTATTACTTGCCTTTGGTCTGTCCCCAAGAAATCCACTGCAGTTTGGGGCACCACATTTGCAGACTGTTTTTTCATTGCCCAGACAGTCAAGGTTGTAATTAAAAGTCAGCTCCGTCCCTGAGTGAGAAAAGACAAACCCTTTCACTGTGAAGGACAAGGTAACAAATTCTATCAGAATTATTACAAACATAGGCAGATTTCCTTATCTGTCTGATGTTTTGGGACTTGATGTATTGTCACGGGATTTTCCTCCTCTTTGCTGCTCATAAGCACTGACAGTGATTAACGAGATGCCCACACAGCATGATGGGCAATTACATTTTAAAATAAATTGGTTTGATTTCACAAATCAGTGCGTGAGTCTGATCGACACACTTGTTATATCTGTCTATCTATCTTCCCATCCATCCAGCCAGCCAGCTAGATATAGCTATTGATAGATATATGTGTGTATGAGCATAACATATCTACTTTTAAAGCAGCCTCCTACATCCACTCCTTAAGCATATTCATATGAAGAGATGCAACATACTGTTTGAGATCTCCAAAACAAAAACTAGGCTCTACAACACAAAGTGAGTGCAAGGATGCTAACTTACTAAGGATACCTGCCCTTTCTAGAAGGAAGCAATAAAAATCAGCTCACTATTAAGGAACACTGAAGTAAAAGGCAGGTTCCAAAGCATCTCTCTGACTGCTGAGTTCTCTATAAGAATATTTGCACTGAATCATTTAAACCATGACTGTCGCACTCATAAGTGCAGAAAAGATTTAACTTAAGGAATGAAACCAAACCCAAGAGACGCTGACATACCTGCAGGAATATCACACACGGCAAACAGCCCGACACGAGTGTCTCCATTCACTGTCCACTTCAGAGTTTCACAATTTGGTTGGCAGCTGTGATTCATAAACCGAGAGTAGTTTCCTTTGGGGCCAGCATCAATAATGCGGTCCTGGAGGAGATCAGACCAGCAACAGAATGAATGTTTTTTCTCTCCCCCTCACAAAAAAAAAAAAAAAAAAAAAAATCCACAGATGACTTCAGTAGTTGCATTCAGAACAAGCACGGTGTTGCTACCCAGAGCACAAAAGCAGACTGATGGCACGTGTTGTATTGAAAACTGTAGTGTCCCATGGGGCCTGGAATGTGACACTCCCAAAGCAATACTTGTGCTCTAGCTCACGTTTTCCCAGCACCCATCGCAGCCACGTGGCAGGATAAGTGTTCTTGTGAGCACTGGGGTGGTTAAGGAACCCCCTCCCACAGAAAGCCTCAAAACTCAAACTGAGTCCATTTATCTTTTACTTTGCACACACAGAGCTGAGAGGCATTTACAAATACTATGCTTAATGGCATTTACCAAGTCACTGCATGATTACTTGCAGAGCTTATCAGTCTGTCACCAGTTATTTTCTCCAAATCAGCCTAGTTTAAACAAAACAAAGCTCTTGGTAAACTAAAAAAAAAAATCCCATCCCTACACACAATTGCTTTTTAATTTCTATCTCCACTGAATATACCAGACATTAACAAAATAAAATCTTGAAATAGCCAGAACTGTGTTTCTCTGCAGAGCTGCTTAAGAGGGATTTGCTAATTAATGAAGTATTATTATAGTTTCCCTCTAACTCATTTTTACAATGCACATGCATGACTGCCATGCCTATTTGCACACACACCCAGTCATTCTAACTGCATGGGCAGCTCGACCCACAGTGAGTATTTATTAATTACAGCAAGAGTCAAATACATGTTTAGTTCAGATATGTAACACCCTGACGTTGTGTGTCAATTTAGTAGACGGGTGAGAAACTTTTAAGCGTTCAGAGAAACGTGGTTTCATCATTCCTTGGTGATAACTCCAGTAACAGGAACTCCTCAGTCACAGGTTTAATGACAACAGTAGCTGTGGAAATACAGAGCAGGAAAGTCTTGGGCAAAAGAACAGTGGTTGGGACCGAAAGAAATGCAGGACTGGCAGCCAGCTCTTGTTTTTCTTTTAAGTAGCTTTGTTTTTTGGGTCTGAAGCAATATAATACACATAATCAATACCTCCAACTGTCCAGGTTCTCCACTTTCTTCTCCTCCTCAGAAAGAAAATATTCAGAGGTGTGCACAGAATCACAGGTGCTGCATTAATTTGGTGTTTTAATTAATCTGCTGCAACAATTTGCTGCAGAATCGATTTGTGGAGTACTGGCTGGCTACTAATGCAAGGAGTGCTTTCAGAAAAAGAGTTTCTATGAAAGCACAAGTCTAGTTTTGCTATAAACTAAGAAATGGACAGAAAGATCCAAAAAATATTAAATGCCCTATGTAAGACACAGACTCACAATTTTATTTCACATTCTCTCAAGCGAGAATTTTATGTTCTGTGGTTGAAATTTTACTAAAAGGATTGCTAACAGTAATTCTTTCAGCTGTATCACTACCATTTCCTAACACTTCATTTTGAGACTAGGCAGGTAAATACTTTGCTGCACTTGATTTCAAGCAACAAAGCAAAACTTACAGACCTTACTATTTATTTTATTACACAACATAGACTAATGAGATGCATTATATATAGAGAGAATGCAGAGAACAGGCACAGAAGATACAACGCTGTGAATACAGGGAACTGTGGAACATCAAAGGCAGCAGAGAGCCCTACCAAGGTGACCAACAGGAGGAAAAGACATCAAAATAATAACTAAATAATGGCAAGAAATGTCAAATACTCTACCTTATCAATAGTAAGCATATAGAAGTGGGTGATGTCATTTTCATGTGCATATTTGATTCTTGCCATACATTCCTCTTCATCAATCAGCTCTCCCACGTACTCGTTCACAAACTCTCCCTGGAAGATACCGAGTATCACTAGTAAAGTATATACCAAACCCACGGACAGCATCACCAGCCCCCAGTTCTCTGCGGGGCAAGAACGATTCATACCTTCTTGATGTCCCTCTTGGCGACCAGACCCCACCCCTTCCCGTCGGTTTTGATGATCTTGGTCTCGGGGTACTGGCGCTTCGTGAAGCACTGGTTCTGGCACCTCTCTCCCGCCGGGCAGACCTGGGGGTGGCACTCGTACATCAGCATCCGGTTTAGGCACTCGGAATCAAAGCCACAGGGGTTTTCATCCGTGGGTTTGCAGTTGCACTTGGGAATCTCAGATATGTCGGCCGTGTATATCTGCACTTTACCGCAAGGTTTGTTCACCTGAAAAAAACACACACATTAAAATCGTTCAAATATCACTTCAGAACACTTAAATTTGTTGTAAGAGTTATTGAGGCGGTTACTAATTTGTTTTTGCCACACTAGGTGTTCCAATGGAAGCAGAATTTCACCCTATCAGGACTGTAAAAGCCTTCAATTACCAGCATTACAACCTGTCCCCATCTCACAGCTCAGCTTTTCCTCTCCAGTGCTGCCTGAGACCTTTTGAGTATCCAGTGCGATTTCCTCAAACTTTACCTTAATATGCTTGTAGGGTGGAGGTTTGCGTTCACTCTCTTGGGTTTCTTTGGCTTCCCGCTGTAGTTTTATTTCTCGAAATCGAGCTTCAGCTTCTTGCAAAGCTGAAAAAGATTGTCACATCAACAGAAATGCCAGAAAGGGAATTACTCTCCCCAGATTGCTCATTCCCATGTGTGTTAAACAAATAGTTGTCTACTCCTTAGTCCCATCACTGAGTTTTCTTACAAACAACACTTCCGAGGTGTTAATGCTCTCAACAGATGTACAAATGTTGGTCTTTCAGTCTCCCAGTTACACTTTTCTTTTTCCTTTCCAGAAAGCAAAAATCACCAGAAATAATTCCAATTAGATCCTAGTCTTTTACAAGCCATGAAAATAATGTTTCCATTCAAAGACAGTAATAGTGGCTGCTGCCCAGGACACCACAACAACTTCCTTAATTCGATATTGTAAAACAAACGTACAAAAGCAGACGACAGGGCTATGTGTAAAGAAAGCAAAGCATGCATATCCCTACATTATTTTTGTTTACTTTAGGCTATGTACCGTTCTTGAAGACTTTTCCAATTCCTTTGATCCCTTGGTATCTACTCCCTCTGTCTCCCTCCATGTAAGGGAACACCCGTGCTTGGTGCGTCCAATAGTAATCCTTAGAACCAAAGAAAAACACAGGAAATTCTCCGATTTCATGCTTCATTTTCTGGATATTTGGGGGAACGTTTTTCGGATGGCAAACTTCTGCAGGCCACCATCTAGCACAGAAGTACAAATAAAAAAATACAGCATTTTAGTCAAGTCTGCATGAGACAGTTCAGTAAAATCACTCTAAAGAGCAGTAACTGCATATTATTTCCAGTATCCAAGAGGATTTAAAATCTTTTCCTCCCCTCACTCACTAGGCAGTGTGAGAAGACCAGGAAAAGAAAGTCTGACACACAGATTCTGTGGGACTTTGGCCTTCCTGAAAGGTAAGGAAACACAGCAGGTTCCTTGTGTCTGGGTAGCAAAACCATCACCTTTACAAGGCCTGCAATCGCTGTAATTGTCAAAGACCAAGAGAAGGTTGATAATAGCTATCATGTTTCTAGGACTACCCCCACCCACCTCTATCTCACTCAAATCTCAACAAAGTGTGAAACACTGACAACCTGAGTGACTGATCTCCCAGCCTGCGAGGTAGTAATTTAGCCAATTACAAGTTATAACAATTAATTTGAAGAGATCTCTGAAACAAAAGGGGTTGAAAGCTCATACACTGGAATCAGATATCATAAGGCTCAATGAGTCCTGCATGGGTAATGCCTTGGCTGAGAGCAACAGCAAAGCTGCAAGTCTTTGAAACTTGAGGCTTGCAAGGAGGTGGGTTCCCCAGCTCAGAGAGGAATGAGAAATCAGTGTACAGCAAGGCTGGCCTGCAGGAGAAACCAACTGTATGATCCTTACTTAAACATGCCAGTACTGTAAAACAACGTAAAATTCCTTCATCAGACCTGTAATTTCCCAGTTTAACCCAAATAATATCCTGGAAGTGGAGCTTCTTGCCCGCCCTGCAGTCGTTGCAGTACCAGCTCCCATCTGGCATTTCAATGTTTAAGCAGTCGGGGTGAAAGGCTGCTGGGCACGACTCGCAGCACAACAAGCTTCCACCTTCACAGAGAGACAAAAAAAAAAAGAAAAAGGAAAACAAAAAGCTTGAAGAACATCAAGGCCAAAACGAAAGTTTGCGTTCCAGCCAGGTTAAAAGCAGTGGTTAGGTTCACTTATAAAATAAATGGTTAAAACGCAACAAATAAACATCTCTTAGTTGTGTATAAAAGCCAAAAAGTCCTGATTTGAATGCCTGGCAGACTTGGGCTCGTAACACATGCAAAATAACAAGTAAGCTGGTGATAAAAAAGCCAGAATAAAGCACCACGTATTATAATTACTTTGCCTTACTTTAATGACTACAATATGTTTAACACAGTTTAATATATGTTAACATTTCAATGTAAGAAAAATTTTAACCACAACAGACTTCTCTTATATTTATGTGGGGGGTTTTTTTGTGTTTGTTTTTTTTTTTTTTTTTTCCCCCTGGGGGAGAGGGAACGAGGTTGTTAGTTTGTTCCATGAATTATCAAGCGGAAAGTTAGCTGGAGCTTAAAAGCTGCTATGCTGCTTGTTAATTTGTTAACAAATCAGGTAAACTTTCGCTCCTACAAGTTTAATCAGCACTACGCATTCCGTGGCTCTCAATAAGGAATAGATTTATTGTACAACATAAACCAAAACACCTTTAATTAGCAGCACTCCCAGCAACAACTAATACTGATTCAATTTGCTGGCTGATGCTAAACTAAAAGCAACACTTAAAATATTTATAGTGTAATATTACGTATTAGCAATAAAGAAACACAAAAAGTTTCAGTACACTGAACACAGGGGAAAGAACAGAGAAATACTCATTATGTGTCTCTCACACAGAATTAAATCAAGCTCCTAGTTGCTGGATAAATTCCAAGTAAAACTATTCTTTTAATCAATTATTCCTGCAATAAAAAAGGATACTTAAAAACCTGAAGCAGCACGAGCCAGCCTGACGTTATACCAAAACCTCACAAAGCCCAACTCAATAATGCCGCGCTTTGAGTAATTCTGTACGAACAGACCAATAAAATAAAATTAAAAACGTTTTGAGGCTGCGTTTGGCGAAACACAGCTCTCCGTTAGTTTACCTTTGGAACACACAAAGCACCAGCTGACATTGACGTGGGCGTGATGGCTTTTCCCCTTGGTGGCAGTGAAATGGTTGGTGCAGACGATGCTGTTGGAGGCGATGACGGCGCATCCCGCGGCAATGCAAACATCCCCGGCGTGGTAGGCAACGGGGCAGCGGACACAGCGCATCATCTTCCCTGGCAAAGCACAACAACTGCCACGTTACTTCCCAACCAAACTGATTATTTGAACTAAAAGTGTCCGAGACAGCCAACGCAACACACAAATACACGCCCGTTATGTTTTCAAAGCCTGCATATTTGCGTTTAGCGGCAGTGCCGAACTGGTAAAGGTTTTTTGAAGCACTGTAACCTTCAATTGTGAAGACTTTTAACTATGCACACCAGGGCAGGCAAGCTTTCTTCCGTCATGTAATTTTGTCTACGGTTCTTGCCCAAAGCTAAAAGCCTGCACAGAATCAAATGTCTCCACGTTCATCGAGCCTTGCTGCACCGTTCGTACATTCTCAGGTCCTGCCCTCACTGCCTGGCCTCTCTCCCATCATCTACGCATTCTAGATTTCATTCTCTCTTGAGAATAAAACATGGTTAACTATAGATAACTGAAAGCTAGTTAAAAAAAAAAAAAAAAGAGCATGAGCATAAATACTAATGCTGACTAAAAATTATTCTATTTTTTCTTTTTTTAAATTCTGAATCAATCCATAGTCCCTTTATACCTAAAAATACTTGCAGCTAGCAGCTCTCAAATGGACAGATTCCTTACCTTAACATACCACAAACAGAATTAATTCACCAGTTATAAAAGTGTAAAATGAAACTACCTTTTGAAATTCGTGGATGGGAGGGGTTACTGACATGACAACTGAGGCAGCTGTGGAGAGGACATCGAAACCCCCTGTTCTCAAACACAGTAAGATGAAATTTTTTCACACAGGCTTCATGGTAGAATTTTCCACAGTGAGATACGACACAGCGTTTCACATCTGCCTTTCTCTCCTTACACACAAAACAGGTGTGCACACCTAATGGCAAAATCATAAACAGAATGTAACTAATTATTCATGCAAACATGAGAATTTAAAATGCTTCTCTTGTGCTTCTATGTTATGCAAGGGGGAGCTGCTTCTGTTTTGTGCAGTTAAAATGTACACAACAACATCCAAAGCCTCACCAATCTGCTTTTATGTTCTTATTTATAAGCCTCAGTACACCAGGACAACTGTGAATTTTTCTTTTCTAAAAAATTTTTTTTAAACCGATGAAATAGAATGATGGGTTGTCTCTGATCCTGTGAAATCTGAGGCAGCACCACAGAATAAATACAAGCATCCTCCAATCTTCTCTCTGAACCATTTGGAACAGCTTTATTTTGAAGTAGCCTTGTTCCAACAAGATTTTACTGCATGTACTGAAATGGGCTTATAAGCAAGAACACAAATCATTTACATAAAGTTTTGAGATTAAGAACTGCCAAGCAGTTACTACAGGATTAAAAGCAAATGAAATTATTAGCAATTAAAGTAGCCTTTTAATAGGAAAAGCAAAAGACTGATACAGACACACATAGGACTAAAAAGGGACTTAAAATGTTTCACTTGCTGGTTTTTTTTTCTAGGATTTCTTAAGTCTCTGTGACAGACTTCAAATCTCATCTGTAAATGTACTCAGAGAGCAAATAATCTGCAGTTATTAAGGCCATGGAATCCAGACTAAATTAGCCAATTTACAAGGGAGTTCTCACCAAAACCAGGGCGAACTTTCTAAAACATGGCACAATCTCCACCCTGTCAGGTCCCACAGGATAAGGAGAGTTCTCCAAGGATACACACTTTGTCCAGGAGGACATCCTAAAACAATGTATGGGAAAACTACAACTTTTTTTTTTTTTTTTAATTAATAGAAAGGGACAAACTTGCCTGATGTACATTCACTACAAATGAATTTTCCTGCTGGTCTTCCAGAGAGCCCAAGGCAGCTTACATGAAAAGCTCGATAGCAAAGTCCTTCACACAGTAGGAGATCACCTGTTTTTTCACACAGCTTTTACAACACAAAGGCATTAAATGTTAAAGGAAAGTTCATATGTGGAAAAAACTGTTTTCTTTATTCCATTCATATAGTGCTCCTCAGAATCTCTTTTCCCATTGTTGAAATCAAATTTAACAAGTGAGAGATAATTTTACAACCATCACCACATGCCCTGGCTTCAAGTCAAGACAGGTAATAGAATCATTAAACCACCAGAAATATCACCATGGTTCAACAGCAAATACAATCTGACAGAAAAAAAGGAATAGAAAAAGAAAAGCCTTAAGAAATATTTCCTGAGCACACTGATGCATCCGAGTAGGGTTAAAAAAGCATCCTTATTTTCATTTTCCTTGGCAAAAGGAAATTAATCTAGTTGGCACAATGATACTTCTACATCTGAGTGGTTAGCAATGACACATGCACAACTAAAAATGAACTGAACAATAGTGCTGTCAGAATTTAGGGATTACCCAACATTTAGAGAGAGATATAATCTCATCATTACTATGTACAAGAAATGGAAATGTAACTGCTTGCCCAGTCTCGTGGAAACAAATTTGATCTGCCTACTTGGGCTGTGTTATCGTTTCATATTCCAAGAACTCTTCTAGAGTAGTCTGATAAAGCTTTTGGCTTTCAGTTGCCACCTGCATGCTGTGATCAGTGCATCACTGCCACCTCTGCTGCACACAAAGCACAAACCCCACCAGGTTTGACTTCCTCCTCTTTGCTAAGAGAGGAGCGAGCAGCTCTTCTGAATCATCACTGGTCACCTGGCAACACTCGTTTGCTTATTCTGAGGTACAAGTCATGCTTATCTTACAGATCTGAGAGCTCAAGCAGAGAGGCTAAGTCACTCACTGGAGGCCAAGAAAAAAAATAATAAGGTATTAAGAGCTCCGTTTACTGGCATGGCAACCTCATCACTAACAGACATCTCAGACACCCATTATGATCCTGTTTCTGGCCTAACATCGTTATTTTCATATTTAAAAACACCTTTCTGTCTCGCTGCCCCAGCTAATGTCTCTCACCTGACACACATATTCTTTTTTTGTTCCTGCTCCTCGCTCAGATTTTTTGGATGATATAGACACTTCAGTCTGAGTTTCATCAGCACTTTCATAGGGAGACTCTGACCGCTCGTCTCCTTGGCCATCGGAGATCTGAAGATTAAACACAGGTGTTAGAGAAAGCAGCCAAGGATGGCCATCTTTGCACAGAACATCAACTGATGGAAGCAAACAGACTGCAATTCAGACTAGGAGATTCAGGCACACTCTTTCGGTTTTTGTTTCCCCCACCTTCAAGAAAAACTTCATCAAAAACCAGGATATGCACTTGTGGAAGTCTCAGCAAAAGGACTGTGTAAGCATCACCCCCACCAGCAACTCAACAGCAGCCAAAACAGAACACCAGACCTTTGTAATATGGCATTTTATTTATACTCTGTAATACAGTGAGCAAGAAGTGCCTAGCCAGTAACATAAGGATATCTTCAAATCCCTCGATTGAAGTTTGAGTATGTGGTTTATGAGAGAGTTAACAGTCAATTTTAAAAAAGAAACTTGGTAAACTTCAAGCTGTGTATGAAAGTCTCTGGAAGTGGGAATAATATATAGAAGAGAGGAAGAAAGAAACAAGCAGCTCTCAGTATGTTTAAGGAACGTTACAGTCAACAATGAATTCAAAATACTACAAGAGATAGTCCTGTTATGGATCAATCTTACATAACGGATCTAGATGTATAAAATATGGAGGATTTTTAAAAATAGTCACAATTTACTTTAAAAATTTTACTTTTAAAAAAACCCAAGTAACATTTAATGAAATATACAGGGCAGTTTTCAGTTCAATAGAATTTAAGGAGGGAATGGACAACCAAGTAATTCATCTCATCTCACATTACACCAGAAGATGCAGAATTTCTTGCTGTTGCCCCCAGATGGTACTCAGTGAGCTGTGTCTCACTAAGTACATTCTCCAGGAAAGCATCACGACTTGGAATTGCAAAAGAAATCTGTCACTACTCTTCGAGCTTGTTCTAATGGTTATTCACACATACCATCAAAAGCACTGCCTCCTGTCCTTTTGGGCTGTCTAACTGCAACTCCCAGTGGATGATGCCTTCTCCAGGTATTTCAGCTATATTAAAAGTCCTTTGGAAGCAGACATTGTCCTCCTGTGGAAGCATGCTGCCATTAAACCAGTTTCAAGCCTTTTTGGTCCACCCTCTAATTTTCTCCCTAGGGGACATTTTACAGCATTCAGAAGGTTTTAGTGGGGTTTCTCTAAACCTTATCTGTACTTTACAAGGGTTGTTGAAAAATCAGGCATGAGAACTGCAGGCAATAGCCCATTGCAAGTCTTCTAAGTACAGTATCCAAAACAAGCCAACATGCTACTACTCTTCTCCACTCCTGTTCTGCTGTGTAAGGATCATCCTAAGTCTCTTCAATAAAGCACTGAAAGTCACTCTAAATAGCTGTGCTACTCAAGAGATCATTTGGCCAAGAGCCATTTGTCAGGATAGAGACACCCCACTTTATATGAAGAATTTGCTTGCTGTTTTCAGACACGGAATCTCATCTTTAACCACAGCAAATTAAAAAATGACCCAGCTACATGCAGGAGACAGTTACATGCAACCTCCCTGTCAGACAATCCATGTAACGTGCAAATTTATTAGAAGTGATTTATTTTGACATCAGAGAGAAAAATATAAGACTAAACCAGGCCTAGAATTACTCTTTATAAAAGCCCTTTAGAAACACTGGTTTCGAGTGATTACTTCTCACTGCTGTTGCCAGTTAACATTTAACATTTGCTTGCCTTGACCATGTCTAAAAATATTTTAAAAACTGGATCAGACTGACAGTTGTTGGTTGGTGGCGTATTTTTTCCCCCCACATTACTTGCAAGAGTGTAAATTCATTTCCTCCGTGCAAAGTGACTCCTATGCATTTCCTCCTATCGAAGTGACTTGTACCTACACATCATCTACGAATATTTCTACAAGTGGAGTGATTTGGAGATTCTGCTTGGCCATTTTACAGAAAACTGCATGTAAAATCATTCAGTCACCTGGGAAATCTCTGTCCCCTGGAAGGAGCTGTGAAATAGTAAACTGCAAATGCAACCCAAGTGCAAGGCCAGGAGCAGCCAGTTCTTGCTGGGAAGGGGCAGATAAAGGAAGGCAGCGTGGGAGTGCAGCAAAAACACAAACCCAGTTTCCCTTATGGTTTAAGTAAACTTACACACATGCTCATTTCTGTTTAAACTATCCCCACAGAAGCATTAATTAGTGTAAGCAGTGCACTGTTCCAACATTTTTAGTACCTCATTATGTTCTTGTTTGAACTAGCCAGAATTAGTCATGGTTAGAAAAGAATTATAAAAAAAAAATAAGCTGGAAGGTCTTAGATCTGCATTTCTTTTCTACTTCAAAAGAAAAGAAAACACAACAAGCAGTCTTATGTTAACTCAACACTATGGTTGTTCCCCATCTTTTACCCCTATGACATCACACCTAAATCCTGACAAAATCCATTTGGGCAGCACACCCTGAGTTAAGACAGTGTTCCCAGCAGCAAAAGCTACAGAGCCTTGCCCCTGAGGAAGGCACTCATCTTCCCTCAGCTCACTACTTTTGAAGGCAGGGCAGAGGAATAGAACATATACAGTGACAAATATATTCAGTCAAAAGACAGTGAGTCAAAGCAATGGTTTCCAAGATATTCTTTGGCTTATATACTCCGTTAAAACAAAGGATGCAGACCTCTGTGTGGAAAGGGAACCCTACTGGCAGATGGCAGTCTTTCAGAACCTCCCTAGACCTGGGTGACAAAATGCCAGTTATTTGTGAACCACAGGCCGACATCAATTTTCCTACAGAACAGAGATTTTACTGCCTCAGAATTAATGTGCCAGCCCTTCACTTAAATTAAATGGTTACTGAGACAAAAAAAAGGAGCAGCACTGGCAAGAATCAAACTCTACATCACAAATGCAACCACAAAAGCCAAATTCTATCAGCCCATTCAAGATAAAACTTGACAATTTACACCCACCTACAGATTAATGCCAGATTTCAAGCACGAATATCAACATGCAGAGCATGAACAAAATACCTTCAGTTCATCAGCCGTACAGCTACCAGGCCGAGAGAGAGTATCTTTCAAGATCTCTCCTTTATGGCTGCCAGAAGCCTCACACACTTTACAAATCAAATGCTCTATTAACCACCAGTTGTGTACTACCCAGACAAGCCTGGATACCTGCTCAGGGCTGTCTCAACTCCTAAGAATCACTTCATTCACAAGAAGCTCAGTGACACACTTCTATGGCCTGGTCAGGACCCAACTCTTCACCCCTGCGACTGTAACCAAAGGTTTAGCCATCACATCCAACAGCTACAACTCATTCACAGCTCACATGCACTTCACCATCATCTGAGAGTTTTCATACTGGCTATTTTCAGGGCCCTAATAAGGGGAAGGCTAGTAGATTCCCTGTTGTAAGAAAGGGAAGCATTTCTATAGGATACTTCAAAGTTTGACCCTTCTTTGTATCTTGCAGAAGGTGAAACATTCTCTGCCAGCCACCTCCCCTTGCAAATAACCCTTGTCCCATATAACCACCTTTCGGGAAGGCTCCCTCTATGAAGGGCTGTAATTCAACACTTCAGCTCCCCAAGTTATCCCAGAACAGCCAGTAGGAATATTGGGGAAGTAAAATGAGCGTCTGTCCCTTCAAGCCTGCGGAGAAGAGGCCGAGACAACCTTCATCTAATGTTTCTCAGAGGGGATTTAAGACCCAAGACAGATACTGCATGAGATGGTTGGGAAAACTGTATTTGTACCCCAAGCAAGCTGTAGCAGCAAAACCAGGTTCCGATCCACCAAGGGGACACTGAGTTTCACAATTAAAATACCTGTAGATCCAAACAGTCACTAAGTAAAGATGATTTACAAGAAGACTGCTAGAAAGCAGTTTGTGCTGATGTGACACAGCCACCTCTGCAATGAGATCTAACACTTTTGTGGGTTGTTAACCCAGCTATCCCTAGTGGAAGGTCTAATACTTTGCATACCAGAGCCCTAAGAACAGCCTTCAATACAAATCAGGACAGGTTTTGGGGGGCCTTTTCCTGTACTTAAGTTACAAACATAAACCTTTCCATTGTGATCATGGCAGAGCTTGTCTTGTCCTTACTTTCCTAATATAATCTTCCTAGCAAAGAAAATTGCGTGTAATTAATGCCTCTGATATTCAGGCCAAGGTTCAAAGTAATCAACATTTAGATTAGGGGCAAAACCTGTTAATTAGCAATTTGTAGCTCTTTTATTCTGCTTTGCATTTTGAGTAATTTCTTACTTCTTATAAAGGCAAAGTGTTATTTTTAAGAGTGCAAATTTAGGGGGGGGAGGAAAGGCACTCCAGATTTTTAGCAAGTGCCAAGTTTCTGCCTTGAAATTGTACCCAAATTCTATCATCACCTCCATTTCTTGTTAGCAGTTAGTGATGCTGAAATGTGAAAGATGCCCTTCTTCTGCTGAAGTCAGGATCATCACAAGAATCAAAATCATCACCATCAAACTTTGCATTTTGCACATCAGTCAGGCTTTCCTTCCCATTTCCTCCAATTACTGAATGTCAACACTACTTTGTGAGGACTCGCCTGTAGAGGCTTTCACACTTCACTGCCTGAACACCGAGCAAGGGTGGTATTTCAGAAACCAAATGCAGCTCTTTCTACTGGAAACTGTGCATCTGCACACACAAGTGAGAAAAAGGGAAGAAAATGGTCTAAAAACCCAGTAATGAGCTTTGCTCTTTATTTGAGCCTGGCCAAAACTTACTTCAAAGATAGAGAGGTTCAGAGTATGGTTACTGCTCACAGACCAATTTCCTGTCAGGTCCCCAAGGCTATCTTTCCTTTCCCACGTGTCCCAGTCATTATTCACTACTCACACGCGGTAAGACTCAAAGGGAACATGTGAGGACACATTACTGCATTTTTCCAAGTTCTCCATAGCTTTATTATTGAAAAAATACTTCGTCACTGAGTCAAACTGGGACAAAATTTTGGCAGCTCCGTGAATTCTTTGTGTTTAGTATTGTATTTTTACCCTTGAAAAGAGAGAAATTAGAGCAATGGGTCATT